AATAGTCAATTGCTAATATGTGTAGAACCTTTAGAGGAATATATATTCTGACTTTCAGTAAAAAAAATTGATTTGTAGTCTCCAATTTTGAGAAACTTAGAAAACATAGTTTGTGATTTCGTTTGATGACCTTGACCTTTGACCTTGCAAATTTTACTTTTTTAGACCTCAGAAGATCTTTTGTGAATAAATATACCTAAATTTGAATCCAGAAAATCGATTTGAAAATCAACTTTTTTGACCTTTCGGAGGTCACTGAAGGTCAACCAAAGGTCAAAGGTCAAAAGTAAGGTCAGATTTGGAATCCTGAGATCTTGTAGATGAGTTTTAAAAAAAAATTTGGTCAATTTGAAGCAAGTTGACAAAAGACCTTTTTTGACCTTTTTTTGACCTTCAATATCTCAAAATCTAGGCAAAATTTCTCTAGACGGCAAAAGGCTAAGACTAATAGAATACTAATATCTATCTGTGTGCAAAAATTCAGCAAAAAATATTTAAGTGTAGTGTCAGGATTTGAGAAACTTGAAAAAAATTTAGATTTGACCTAGATTTTGACCTTTGACCTTGACCTAGATAAAAATTCCTTTCCCGCCAAGTTTAGCCCAGGTCCCTAGTAGGACTATGTAGTACCTAGTTGAAAGGTAGTTGGAAGTAGGAGAAAAAGAGGGAGGAAGAATAAATAATAATAATAAAGAATAATAAAGAATAATATCTACAAAATTGATAGGAGGCCCCCCGATGGGGCCTCCTAATAATAATATCTATAAAATTAATAGAAGGCCCCCTGTCGGGGCCTCCTAATAAAGATAATCATGATTAAATAAAATGATTATAAAATTTTCATCTTGTTTAACTTTGATAAGGCATGTTTCGCAAGTAATTGGCACCAAAATAACAATTGTTATTGTCTGACAGTGTCCTTCACAAAAGCACCACCTCATATTCAGTGTTTAAATAAGAGATCATTATTAAATGTAAGATATTTTCAATATGGAATACCTTTAAGTCGGGCAAATCAACTTTCTGCCTGTAAAAGTTCCATTTTAGATCATTGAGATTCTATGAGCTATAAAACTGCAAAGAGAAGTGCAATAGGTAGAGGGTAGCCTTGGAGGGTAGCTACCATTTTAATAATTACATATATCTCCCTTTCTGGGATCACTGAACACGCTAATTAAGCTAGGCACTGTCACCGTGACCATGAGGTCATGAGACGTGTGAGCTCCTTGCGTTTATTCACTTATAAATACAAAGTTATTTCTCTATATTTTGTTAAAAAGGTTAGTGTATTCCCCAAACATCTTGCTACATCAACCAAGCAAAGGCGAAATGTAGCAGAGGGGTGAATTGGGTTCATGTCTCACATTGGTTCTTATGCTTACTCATTTATCTAAGTTATAATCTGAGTAAAAGACAATATTATCTACATCAAACAATTATGTCGACAATGTATCTCTGGTATTCCACTTCATATTATCTTTGATGTCTGACAATGACTACTTCTATATAGAATAATTCCACTTCATATTATCTTTGATGTCTGACAATGACTACTTCTATATAGAATAATTCCACTTCATATTATCTTTGATGTCTGACAATGACTACTTCTATATAGAATATTCCACTTCATATTATCTTTGATGTCTGACAATGACTACTTCTATATAGAATATTCCACTTCATATTATCTTTGATGTCTGACAATGACTACTTCTATATAGAATATTCCACTTCATATTATCTTTGATGTCTGACAATGACTACTTCTATATAGAATATTCCACTTCATATTATCTTTGATGTCTGACAATGACTACTTCTATATAGAATATTCCACTTCATATTATCTTTGATGTCTGACAATGACTACTTCTATATAGAATATTCCACTTCATATTATCTTTGATGTCTGACAATGACTACTTCTATATAGAATATTCCACTTCATATTATCTTTGATGTCTGACAATGACTACTTCTATATAGAATATTCCACTTCATATTATCTTTGATGTCTGACAATGACTACTTCTATATAGAATATTCCACTTCATATTATCTTTGATGTCTGACAATGACTACTTCTATATAGAATATTCCACTTCATATTATCTTTGATGTCTGACCATGACTACTTCTATATCATGTATATAGAATATTCTACTTCATTTATCTGGCTGAATCTTCAACATTTTTTCACCTGTTTCTTCACTATTCATACTTCACAAAAAATATGTAGTTAATATTATACAAATATTGAATTTTGTGGAGTTGAATATCTGTATATATTTCTGAAGGTGTATTCACCGCAGCCCGAAGGGCGAGGTGAATACATCCCTAAGAAATATATACAGATATTAAACGATCACAGAATTCAATATTTGTTTTATTATTTCCTCATTAGTTTCAACGTATTTCCAAACGTTTACCAATATTCTGTTATAAATCACGATCTCTGTCACACCATAAAAATTAGATTCGGATCTTCCATGTTAAAGTCCATAGTCTTCGTGCTTTCATTAGTTGACATTTTGAATACATTTGTAAAATCTTTATCCCGGTTTGTTATACAGTATTAAACCTTTTTTGGGAGGAATTCGTGATACAACTTCACCGTCTGTCATATCGGATGAAAATACTTTTTAGCTAAATTCCCGGGAATTAAGTGATGTGACGTCATTTTTAGTGAATACCACTATTTATTCAATTAAAATGACGTCATTTTTAGTGAATACACTCTTCACACGTTTTCTAAGCAGGGAGACAAGGAATACCTCTATATATTTCTAGTCACATGGTATCTAATTGACCAATGAGAGAACGAATATCACGGCATGGAAATAATAATCATTAATATTACATAAGGTTTGGTATAAATGGGGGAGATGAACTAACTGAAGCTCAGGTCACAAACAGACTCATAGACTTGAAGGACAAATGCTTCAGAAATGAATGAGGCAAACCTCTTCCATGTAGCACAACCTCTTCCATGTGGCACAACCTCTCCCTCCCCTAAGCCCCTGCCTCCCTCTTGCCTTCTCTCTCTCAGTATGTCATACCTACACTCGGGAGAAAGTTGAAATGCCATATAATAGTCATGGATGGAAAATATTATACCAGTTGTATATCATACCTATGATATGCTCTGTACTGTGGTATAATGAGTTCTATAGGTTTTCTATCATGATATCCTTGGTTTTATGTTTTCAAAGCATCATTCTATGTACTATTTACAGAACATGTGCTATGCATGCACCTCGCTATTTCTTGAACTTTGTGAAGCGGTATGGGTGCTTATTAGGGGTTGGGCAATGAATATGGTAAATTACAGTACTGTTACAATAGTTTTGTGACTAATGACAACAATACTTATACATTGGTCTCAAGTTTGTAGTTTCAGTGACTTTACAGCTCACCTTGTGTAAAAGTCAACATGAGTTATTTTTTTCATGTAAAAAATCTAATGTATGATTGGTATTTGATACACATAAGATGACATTATCTTATCTATTAACAGAAATTCAACTCTGCAATAAGTTTACAAACTTTGAATAATTGTACTTGAATAGCAAAGGTGGTTTATGCATCTATTAAGGTAGAGTCGTACCAGAGATCAAAATGGAGTCAGCCTCATAGCAAGTTAGCTCCCCTTAAATCTCATGTACATAAAATACATGAATATAATTTATTGCTTTCCTTGACAGTTTTTGATAAATACTTGACATACATGTATCATCTTCAAATACCAGTGGAATCATAACATATAACATACAAGGCATTAACATGCAAAATGTCACAACCTGCCATTTGTTACAGACAATGTAATTACAGACGCTGAACATAATCCAGAAAATATTGTGACATAAAAATAAAAGAGAAAGAAAAAAAGATTAAAATATATCAGAATTATGCACTAATGTGCTTCATCTCAAACTTAAAAACACTTTGTCTCAGTCAGTTTTTGAAAATCTTTACTTTAAATCACCCTTTAGAAAATCCTAGTATCGTTTACTTAAAACAGGCTGTATCATACTCGTATTTCATACCTTAGAAATGATGCATAAAATTATGGAGCCCCATCTGGCCTACTGACCACTATTGTTTTGAGAATTCTTGGGGCCAATCCTCCTTGGAAAATTTGAGATTGAACAAGAGTGCCATCTTTTTATTCAAACACAAACTACAGAATGTCAGAATATTTAAAAGACTACATACAGTACTAGTATAGTATTAAGAATTCATTCAAACAACATCTTTTTTATATCATAAACCTTTACATTATCTTTTATTTACTCAAAATAATTTAGTTTCACAATGTACATACTGTATACACCAAAACATCTAAATATATTTTCCCAAATGAATACATCAAAAAGTGTGAAGTTAATATAGCTTTAGTGTTTCAAAGTAAACATCTGATGACAATATGTGTGTGTTCGCTTCTAAATACCATTGTGAGACAGTTTTAACTATCTCTGGAACTCTTCTACATATAGTGTGACAACAATGCTGACTTTCATTTAACCCAAATCCCCCAACTTAACCATCTATGCAAAACAATAGCTTGTAAAGACGACGAAAATATAGTACCAGGAATAACGTTATAGTATTTCTTTAAAATTCACAAAACATTCACAAAAAATAAATCAATATTTTTGGGAAAATGCATTCATGTTCCCAAGTTTGTTTTTATATCAAAGTCACTTCTAAATGTTTACCACTTTGAAACAATAGCCAAATCTTTTCAGTTTATTTACTAACATCATACAGCTGTTCTTACTATCACATATCCTGATACAATGATACACTGTAATGACTGTACTTCATTTTCTGCCCTCCAAATCACATAAAACAATCATTTATCATTGCAATAACCCCTAATACAATCTGCTAATTGAGCTTTGTATGCTGCTAAAATATTTTCTGGTGAGCTCGGAGTAAGGATAAATGTTCTCACATCTGACCAGAGAATATACAGACATACACAGGAGTCATAAGGACTACCATGGTTACCGTTTATAAGGTTATAACGTTTATATCTTTCATTTGTCCACCAAAACTCCAAAAACTTTTTGGGTTGGCCCCAGAAGTTAAGCATATAGAGTATTAAGTTCGTGTCTTTTTTTAAATATTTTATGAAAAGGTTGAACGAATAAATGAATGATTAAGAAAATTGTGCTAAAATTCATCATGTATGTGACTGTTATCTGGTGAGATTTCTGTTGGTTTGACGAAAATTCCTTCAGAAACTTTCCAGTAATTCTTCTCATTGGCTTGTCCATATGCGCTAATTTCACGTTGACCATATATGGGTCGACCATATGTTTCACCACTCACATGTAAATAGCTGAAATAGAGACAATTACAGGAATATATAAATATTGATTTTCTCATTATCCCAATTGGTGATGGTGGCTTATTATCTCAATAATATACAATCCACTTTCTAATTTTTGTATTTAGATAATTAATTAGACCAATTAAAATGATCAAAAAATATCCATATATTGAAGATATGAATGTCTGTAGTCAGCTGCCATTACATACCCTATGTTGTTGTTTTGTAGGAATACAAGCGTACACAAACTACATTTTTACATGATTTTAAGTAAGATACATTTACTTTACCAAAATGCAAAAATTTTTGTTCACTTGTAGTTAGTTATACAAAAACCTATTTAATAATTTAATAATTGAAAGTTGAAGGTTTAATAAAACTGTGAGACAAATGTACGGACAAAAAAATGAATGGACAAACAGGTGAGTGATGACAAAAGCTCACGTTAGAGAACTAAATAAAGATGGCAGTGTAATGGTGTATCAACGATGAAAATAATAAGTGATAATAGATGTAATCTAAACTAACCTGTTCGAGACAACATGCTTCAGCCGTACTTTTTCATCACGACGCCATAGTTTTTGTGAGCATACAATAACCCAATGATCTCCTGCAAATATACCATCAACTTTAATAAACAATATCAGTTAAAAATACTGAAATTTTGTTCATTATTTTTCTTTTGAAACTGCTGTAAAAAAGCAGTTCATACTGCAATGTTTTGCTGAACCAAACAAGGCATTAACATGACAAAATGTCACCACCTAGTTGCTCACAATATTATGAGTTCAAACTTAAGTCAGATTTGAATTTCTAAGAACTTGTAAAGTCAAATTTGAACTTCTGAAAAGATGTAGATGATTTTGAAAAAAAAATTTGGTCAATTTGAAGCAAGTTGAAAACAGACCTTTTTGACCTTTTTTAACCTTGAGAAGGTCATTAAAGGTCAAATGTCAAATCTAAAGTCAGATTTGAATTTCTGAGAACATGTAGATGATTTTGAAAAAAAAATTAGTCAATTTGAAGCAAGTTGAAAAAAGACCTTTTTGACCTTTTTTGACCTTGAGAAGGTCATTGAAGGTCAAATGTCAAATCTAAAGTCAAATCTAAAGTCATATTTGAATTTCTGAGAACATGTAGATGATTTTGAAAAAAAATTTAGGCAATTTGAAGCAAGATGAAAAAATACCTTTTTGACCTTTTTGACATTGAGAAGGTCATTGAAAGTCAAATGTCAAATCTAAAGTCAGATTTGAATTTCTGAGAACAAGTAGATGATTTTGAAAAAAAATTTAGTCAATTTGAAGCAAGTTGAAAAAAGACCTTTTTGATCTTTTTTGACTTTGAGAAGGTCATTGAAGGTCAAATGTCAAATCTTAAGTCAAATCTAAAGTCAGATTTGAATTTCTGAGAACACGTAGATGATTTTGAAAATTTTGTTTAGTCAATTTGAAGCAAGTTGAAAACAGACCTTTTTTGACCTTGAGAAGGTCATTAAAAGGTCAAATGTCAAATGTAAAGTCAGATTTGAATTTCTGAGAACATGTAGATGATTTTGAAAAAAAAATTAGTCAATTTGAAGCAAGTTGAAAAAAGACCTTTTTGACCTTTTTTGACCTTGAGAAGGTCATTGAAGGTCAAATGTCTAATCTAAAGTCATATTTGAATTTCTGAGAACATGTAGATGATTTTGAAAAAAAAATTAGTCAATTTGAAGTAAGATGAAAAAATACCTTTTTGACCTTTTTTGACATTGAGAAGGTCATTGAAGGTCAAATGTCAAATCTAAAGTCAGATTTGAATTTCTGAGAACATGTAGATGATTTTGAAAAAAAAATTTAGTCAATTTGAAGCAAGTTGAAAAAATACCTTTTTGACCTCTTTTGACTTTAAGAAGGTCATTGAAGGTCAAATGTCAAATCTTAAGTCAAATGTAAAGTCAGATTTGAATTTCTGAGAACACGTAGATGATTTTGTAAATTTTTTTTAGTCAATTTGAAGCAAGTTGAAAACAGACCTTTTTGACCTTTTTTGACCTTGAGAAGGTCATTAAAGGTCAAATGTCAAATGTAAAGTCAGATTTGAATTTCTGAGAACATGTAGATGATTTTGAAAAAAAAAATTAGTCAATTTGAAGCAAGTTGAAAAAAGACCTTTTTGACCTTTTTTGACCTTCAGAAGGTCATTGAAGGTCAAATGTCAAATCTAAAGTCATATTTGAATTTCTGAGAACATGTAGATGATTTTGAAAAAAAATTTAGTCAATTTGAAGCAAGATGAAAAAATACCTTTTTGACCTTTTTGACATTGAGAAGGTCATTGAAGGTCAAATGTCAAATCTAAAATCAGATTTGAATTACTGAGAACATGTAGATGATTTTGAAAAAAAAATTTAGTCAATTTGAAGCAAGTTGAAAAAAGACCTTTTTGACCTTTTTTGACTTTGAGAAGGTCATTGAAGGTCAAATGTCAAATCTTAAGTCAAATCAAAAGTCAGATTTGAATTTCTGAGAACACGTAGATGATTTTGAAAATTTTTTTTAGTCAATTTGAAGCAAGTTGAAAACAGACTTTTTGACCTTTTTTGACCTTGAGAAGGTCATTGAAGGTCAAATGTCAAATCTTAAGTCAAATCTTAAGTCAGATTTGAATTTCTGAGAACACGTAGATGATTTTGAAAAAAAATTTTAGTCAATTTGAAGCAAGTTGAAAAAAGACCTTTTTGACCTTTTTTGACTTTGAGAAGGTCATTGAAGGTAAAATGTCAAATCTTAAGTCAAATCTAAAGTCAGATTTGAATTTCTGAGAACACGTAGATGATTTTGAAAATTTCTTTTAGTCAATTTGAAGCAAGTTGAAAACAGACCTTTTTGACCTTTTTTGACCTTGAGAAGGTCATTGAAGGTCAAATGTCAAATCTTAAGTCAAATCTTAAGTCAGATTTGAATTTCTGAAAACACGTAGATGATTTTGAAAAAAAATTTTAGTCAATTTGAAGCAAGTTGAAAACAGACCTTTTTGACCTTTTTTGACCTTGAGAAGGTCATTGAAGGTCAAATGTCAAATCTAAAGTCAGATTTGAATTTCTGAGAACATGTAGATGATTTTGAAAAAAAAATTTAGTCAATATGAAGCAAGTTGAAAAAAGACCTTTTTGACCTTTTTTGACTTTGAGAAGGTCATTGAAGGTCAAATGTCAAATCTTAAGTCAAATCTAAAGTCAGATTTGAATTTCTGAGAACACGTAGATGATTTTGAAAAAAAAATTTAGTCAATTTGAAGCAAGTTGAAAACAGACCTTTTTGACCTTTTTTGACCTTGAGAAGATCATTGAAGGTCAAATGTCAAATCTAAAGTCAGATTTGAAGGTCAAATGTCAAATCTAAAGTCAGATTTGAATTTCTCAGAACATGTAGATGATTTTGAAAAAACATTTAGTCAATGTGAAGCAAGTTGAAAAAAGACCTTTTTGACCTTGAGAAGGTCATTGAAGGTCAAATGTCAAATCTAAAGTCAGATTTGAACTTCTGAGAACATGTAGATGATTTAGAAAAAAATTGAAGTCAGTCTAAACAGTATTTGTTAAGTTATAGGAAGTTGTAAGAAATTGTTACAGACGCCGGACGCCAACCGCCGGACGCCAACCGCCGGACGCCAACCACCAACCGCCGTCGCAAAAAAACGGAGACCATAACAATATGTCACCACTTTTGGTGGTGACATAAAAACTAACTCAGGTATTTAACAATGGCGTAGCGTCATATACGCATAAAACGCCATGGCGTACTCTCAAAATTAAGAGAAAAGTTGATTTTTAGATTGAATTGCCTCACACTTTAAAAATGGATAAAATGACCAATAATTGAAATGTCATTAGTCTATTTCGTCGGAATTTCGTATTTTAAAACGCCCCAGAACGTTTCAACTGCAATCTCATTTTCAAATTTTCTTGGGGGAGGACCCACCCCCGGACCCCCCTCAGAGATCGTTCGCTTCGCTCCCTCGTGGCGTACACTCAAAAATACCCACGCTACGCCACAGTTTAAGGCATAACTTAGATATAAATAATTTTTTAAGTTGTAGATAGCAAACAATAGGTAGGTTGAGCTTCACGTTTTGAAGATTACTGCCCTCCTCTCAACTGTTATACATGTGATAACATCTGTTTTCTTTAAATCTCAACTCAATTGGGCAAATAAATACTACAAAGGGGAAAACTTATCCTCAGAGGACTATAATTGTTCCACTCGCATACAAGTGCACTTAAAACATTTCACTTAATCTCTCTATTCAAAGAATTCAAAGTTACGTACCATCATCACCGGTGCCATCATCCCCAAAGGCACTAACCTCCAGGTTATGTGATAAAGGGGACTGGAAATGATGACTATGGAGATTCCTTTTAGTGGCAAGATGAGTCAATCTTATAGTCTGGCCGCATTTTATAGCCACTCTGAAAGTACAATGTTAAATTGTCTACTGAAGTTTTTAAGGTATACAAAGCAAAGTTGGAGGTATCGCGATCCATAAGTTGAAGCTGATAGAAGATGTTTGAAGTTAATTCTTGGAAAAAAATATATGTTTACAATGAGATGATCTGATCATCAATGCTGCCACAAATGAAGATATGTTCTGTGTCTCAAAACAAAGTAGGTAGGTATATTTGTTTCATTTTTGATGAAACACATTTAAAAGAAACCAATATGCATTCTGAGATTTACTCCTTGACTTTCAAAAATCTGGTCGTTTCAATATCCCTAGAACTGATACAGCATGGAAATGTTCTATTTTGTACTATGACTGATATCATTTCAATTCAAGTTATGTGAAATATTCTTTTGACGTATAAATTACCAGAAGGATAGATTAATTCATTAACTCACCCTCTTTCACAAGTTTCTCCATTTTTAGCTCTTACTGTCCAATAGCTGTTTGTATCATCTGCTGATTCTACTCCCGTCACAGACTAAAAATAAGAAAGCATAAATTAGAACATACTGTAGATACTAAAATTTGGCTACTGTTTTAATTTGAAAATGCACCAATTTTCAGATGTACTTGGGAAATCCCTGGGGAAATTTTAGTCCGTGCAATCATGCTGCAATAACGCAGATCCGAGTAAGTAGTTACCAGTTTCACCACCAGGTGGCTCGCTAGGGTCAGATAACATGGCGGGTATAGTAGAAAGTTCCCTTTAAATTAAATTACATCTATTTTATTGGTTCAATTTTCATATAACCCTTATGTATCTAATAGTTATGCAAATCAAAATATGTCCAGTAAATGAAAATGTTATCTGACCAATACAAGAAAAGATATTTCACTTTTTGGGATTTTGTAACATGGGCTCTATTTAATCAACCCGAACTCGAAGTCAAACTTTCATAAATAATTAAATTTTCAAACTTGATAAACAATTTTCGAAACCATATTTCTAGATGTACTTTTACATGTAGATTTCAAATATAACATTGTGTAACAAATTTTTACTTTTCAAATTTTCGATTATTTGTAGTCTAGTTCCATTTTATCAGTTTTCTTACAGTTAACTCAGTGAGAAAGCGTTTTCCAGTTTGGTTCATAAGTAGTATACTTACATGAATGTTTGTGACACTAAAGGAGTAGGCAGAATCATGTAAACTGCACATTTTTGTGAGATTTCTTTTTGCTTTCATTTGTTTACATTTTTCTCACCTTACTATTGAAGAGCTATCTTGACCTACATTCAATTACTAGTTTTTTTCTGTCAATTTCGGCATGATAATAACCCATGAAGATTGGTTTGTTATATTTATTTAGTTTATACATTTATCTAGTTAATTATATACCAAACATGCATTAATGGTACATTAGATAGCACAGATTGTGAGTTCTAAATGAAGCCAGTTATTTTGCACTATTCATATCCTGATTGCGTCATAGTAATTGTACACCAGTCTTGTCCTGTCCAGGGGCCTAGGTATTGCATCAGCCCATTAATCACTTGTTAGGTTCGTGTGCAAAACCTAGTACATGTTACATACATGTCTGGGGTATAAATAGAGACAACCAGGTGACTCAGCAGGCACTTTCTTGCTGGAACTGAGAGAGGACTGACCTGTGTGCCTCCAGGGATTGATGCTTGATGGACTTAGGCTAATTCTACACATCTATTGATGGACTTAGAAGATTTTCATCTAACATATTGAGGGACTTAGATGATTTTACCCTGATGTACTTAGAGGATCTTAGGCAGATTCGACATACCCGTTGAGGGACTTTGTGAGGATATACTTAGAGGATCTTAGGCAGATTCGATATACCCGTTGAGGGACTTTGTGAGGATATACTTAGAGGATCTTAGGCAGATTCGACATACCCGTTGAGGGACTAAGAGGATATTACCCTGGTATACTTAGAGGATCTTAGGCAGATTCGACATACCCATTGAGGGACTTAGAGGATATTACCCTGGTATACTTAGAGGATCTTAGGCAGATTCGACATACCCATTGAGGGACTTAGAGGATTTTATCCTGGTATACTTAGAGGATCTTAGGCAGATTCGACATACCCGTTGAGGGACTTTGAGGATATACTTAGAGGATCTTAGGCAGATTCGACATACCCGTTGAGGGACTTTGAGGATATACTGAGAGGATCTTAGGCAGATTCTACATATACTGGGAGGCACGTACACAACTTTTGATGAGAAGGAACCTCCACGCACCTCTAGAGATTGATGCCTCAGGGACTTAGACAAATTCTGCATACCATTTGATGGACTTAGAGAATTTTATTACCTTGAGGGACTTAGATAAATTCTGCATACCATTTGATGGACTTAGAGGATTTTTCGGTCGATACACTTAGAAGATATTACCTTGAGGGACTTAGCCAATATTCACCATAGTTGCCTGGAGTTTGATGCCCAGAGGAACTTAGGAATATTCACGCATATATTGAGGGACTTAGCCAAAAGTTGTCTGAAGTTTGATGCCCAGAGGAACTTAGGAATATTTACGTATATATTGAGGGACTTAGCCAATGATCACCATAGTTGCCTGGAGTTTGATGCCCAGAGGAACTTAGGAATATTCACGTATATATTGAGGGACTTCGCCAATATTCACCATAGTTGCCTGGAGTTTGATGCCCAGAGGAACTTAGGAATATTCACGCATATATTGAGGGACTTAGCCAAAAGTTGTCTGAAGTTTGATGCCCAGAGGAACTTAGGAATATTTATGTATATATTGAGGGACTTAGCCAATATTCCCCAAAGTTGTCTGAAGTTTGATGCCCAGAGAAACTTAGGAATATTCACGTATATATTGAGGGACTTAGCCAATATTCCCCAAAGTTGTCTGAAGTTTGATGCCCAGAGGAACTTAGGAATATTCACGTATATATTGAGGGACTTAGCCAATATTCCCCAAAGTTGTCTGAAGTTTGATGCCCAGAGGAACTTAGGAATATTTACGTATATATTGAGGGACTTAGCCAATATTCACCATAGTTGCCTGGAGTTTGATGCCCAGAGGAACTTAGGAATATTCACGTATATATTGAGGGACTTAGCCAATATTCCCCAAAGTTGTCTGAAGTTTGATGCCAGAGGAACTTAGGAATATTCACGTATATATTTAGGGACTTAGCCAATATTCCCCAAAGTTGTCTGGAGTTTGATGCCCAGAGGAACTTAAGGAATATTTACTCATATATTGAGGGACTTAGCCAATATTCACCAAAGTTGCCTGAAGTCTGATAGACTTAGAATTTTCACAGCTCATTTGATGAACTTAGATTATATCTTCAACTTGGTGGACTTAGAATATTCATCGATAATCTGAAGAACTTAGCAGATTTCATACATCTTCAGTCTGATAGACTTAGAATATTCACAGCTCATTTGATGAACTTAGATTATATCTTCAACTTGGTGGACTTAGAATATTAATCGATAATCTGAAGAACTTAGCAGATTTCATACATCTTCAGTCTGATAGACTTAGAATATTCACAGCTCATTTGGTGAACTTAGATTATATCTTCAACTTGGTGGACTTAGAATATTCATCGATAATCTGAAGAACTTAGCAGATTTCATACATCTTCAGTCTGATAGACTTAGAATATTCACAGCTCATTTGATGAACTTAGATTATATCTTCAACTTGGTGGACTTAGAATATTCATCGTTAATCTGAAGAACTTAGCAGATTCCATACATCTTCAGTCCGATAGACTTAGAATATTCACAGCTCATTTGATGAACTTAGATTCTATCTTCAACTTGGTGGACTTAGAATATTCATCGATAATCTGAAGTACTTAGCAGATTCCGTACTTCTTCAGTTTGATAGACTTAGAATATTCACAGCTCATTTGATGAACTTATTATATCGTCAACTTGGTGGACTTAGAATATTCATCACCTTGAAGGACTTAGAATATGCATCGCTCATCTGATGAAAAACTACATTAGTGATGAACACTTTTATATATATATAAATATACAAGTATTATTACATGAAGGACTTATAATTAGCACCTCTGAAACTGAAGCTTATTATCGATTTGTGTTGTAATATTTTGAGGCGGATGAAGCCAGAATATATGTTGTTAAGCTTTCATTAACTATTGTGTCTCTTTATTTTCACACGTGCATTTAATGTGTACAACGTATCCCCAAAGTGACCTAGTCTAAAATAAAAACACCCACACTACCCAAATTAGGCTAGCCGTTACACTGGTGGCAGTGGTGGGATCGTGTTTATTTAGTTGATACAATAATAGAATATGGAGCATGAACAGGATCTTCCACCTCCCCCAAAAATGGAGGACATAACCAATGAAGACCCTGAGAAAACTGTGTTTTTTAAGTCGGATGACATGGAAATTGATAATCCAGGAGCTGCGGATGTGACAGTACCAGAAATAATGGATCCTGCTAAACAGAAACTGTCTCCCAGAAAAGGTATCCCTACAGAAGGAGCCCGACCCAGAATGACGAATAGTGATACGGAGCAGAGGCACTCATCCAGCTTATGGAGCTCTGGGTATTGGACTGGAGCTGTAATGACAGATGTCAAAACTCCATTAAACCCCATATCTCGTAATGAGAGAGATCCTCCAAGAAGACAAAGGTATCCTCTAACGTCTTCTGTTGTTGGTGGAACAGTAAGGAGGTTTAGAGAAGAGGATACAATGAGACCAGACTTAACACTGATTGAGAGTAAGCTCGAGAGAAAGATGGACATATTTAGTGAATCATTGGTGGCTCAACAGAGGCAAATGCAAAAATTAGCAGAGACTCAACAGAAATGTATGACACAAGTAGTGGAAACTCAAAAGAGTCTGGTTGAAGGTCTTACAGCATCTCAAAATACCCAAATACACAACATATCTCGGATCGCAGAACAAGTTCAACAAAGCAAGGATCATCAAGAGAGACAACTACAAAGTGTGAGGAGTCAGATGGAAACTTTTAAAGAGACCATGGAGACTTCTATCATGGAGAAAATTCAGACCGGTATTCCCTTTGAAAGGGGCACTCAGGAGGACCCAGAAAAGACAAAATTTCATGATGAAATTGGTTATGCAGAGTATGTAGCCCGAAGGCAGACTCCCTTAAATTCTGTCGGAAAAGATTATCCATCTGCGACAACTCTACCATTCACTCAGCCCAGGGACAATTTTGTATCGACCCCAACAGTTTCAGAAGTGAAAAAGCCCTGGCAGCTACGTAGACAAGACAGAGTTTATTCAAGACCTGGTGCGAAACTAATGCAGGACAGTACCAGAGATTTAAGTCAACATAAAGAATATGAAAATTCTGGCCCAAAGGAGGACGTGCTAGGGAGTGAACATGCCCATGACACCTGTAATCGATCATTTCCATGGTACCAGGATGAGGAGACTGATAATGCAACCAAATATATACCGTCAAAGAGACCTAATAATCTTGAGAACAGATCAGGGAAT